TTTCCCATCCTACAGGGACCTTAGTGGGCTCAAAAGCCTCCTAAAAGTTTCAGTCCCTTTCCTACAACAGACCCCTTCCTCCCACTTTAAAAAAAAAATCAAGTTATAGAAGTGAGGACAACTTGAGCGAGGCAGGGTATGAAAATACTCCGGGACTCCCAGGGGGATCCCAGACACCTGCAGCTGTTTGCATTCACAGGCACAGACTGTTGTAAAATCCGCTTAGTAACCTTGTTGGGTTATTGTCACACTGCGATAGTCCCTGAGCTCTGCAGCTAGCCGGGCTCTCCCGCCTTGTGTGGACTGTGTTCTCACCCTTATTCCTTAGGTGCACCCGGGTCTCCTTCAGATGCTAAGCCCCGCCCCCCATCTCTCTTTGGTATGTGTGGGCTTATGTGTTCATGTAGTGTGTATACACTTGGGAGTGGGGGTTCTCACGTATGAACTTGGGTGTGAGGCCGAAAGTCAACATTAGGTATCTCCTTCCGTCACTTGTCCCCCTCCAGGAAGCTCAACAGCCTTGAGACCTCATTCATCGACTACAGTTCCTAAAGAACAGCTTAACAGCGGGTGAGGCCGGGCACTCCACCAGGTGGTGAGGGTTGACACAGGGAGGCACGTCCACCTTACGCCTCCAGATGCGCTGTGCAGGGAGGACCCAACCTTCTCCGGGCAGTTTCCCCAAGCTGTACAACTTGAATCTAATGGCAGTCACATGGCAGATCCACACGGGGAGTGTCTGCAGAGGACCTGGCCCAGCGTCTTCCAACATGTCAAGGTCATGAATGACAAGGAAACACAAAGGAACCATTCTAGCTGAAAGAGGACACACGGCATCCGTAGCTGAACCCAGGGCCTCTGCTTATTCCGCAGAGGGCGTCGTTGGGGGTACTGGGCAGCAGAAGGTCTGCAGGTTCCAAACTAGAGAATGTTGATCTTAAATTCTCGATTTTGACGTGTACACTCTCGATTTTGACGTGTACACTCTCGATTTTGACGTGTACACTCTCGATTTTGACGGGTTACGGCACAGGGGAAGGCATTCTTAGGAAATGTACGTTGATATATCAGTGGGGAGAGGGTTACTATCAGGCCTGAAAAATGACGCTGGCTGCTGTGCCTCTCATAGCTGTGGGTGTGGACATCTATCCACCGACTCATCTACTGTCTCCCTATGGCTCGATGTCCTTGAAGCGATTGAGAGCAATTACATTTATGTTTTATACATAAAAACCACATATCTCAATCCTGAGCTCCAATATGTGTCACCCTCCGAGGCCAAGATGACTTTGCTGACGTGGCTGAGCCGACGATGCTGAGGCCAGGAGAGCATGCAGGGCCGTCCATGGGCCTGAGGAATCCCGTGCTTCCTCAGCAGAAAGAGGGTCGGGTGGGCCAGTCCTGGATGGTGCAGGGTCACGGGATGATGCAGGCAGGGAGGGAGCGTTGATAATCTCAGAGCTCAGCCTTGACGATGAAGGAAGCTGCCTGGGCCAGGGCTTGTGGGTGACCTCAGAGGCAGGTCACCTATCACAGGAATCAGCCTGAGGGCACCTTGATCTCCGCTCTCTGCCAAGGTCACACTCTTTGACTCCAAAGCTGGAAGAATCATGCGTGGTTGAAAGCTGCGATATTGGTTGTCACACGTCAGCCATGGGAAATGGGCACTCCACCTCTGAATGTGTTGGTGCATGCACACATGTATTTGGGGGAAGAGGGTGATCAGACTGAGGTGATAGAATATTCGTGTTTGAGGAATCGGCACAGATGCCCTAGGAAGTCTGTGGACTCCATTTTCAATGTAATTCTGGAATTATCTCAGGGGAAAAGAGAAAGAATAACACAACAGTCAGGGCGGACATGTGTATGTGTGTATGCTGTGTGTGTGTGTGTGTGTGTGTCCTGTGTGTGAATGTGTCCTGTGTGTGTATGTGTGTATGTATGTGTGTCCTGTGTGTGTATATGTGTGTGTGTCCTGTGTGTGTATGTGTGTATGCCATGTGTATGTGAGTGTGTATGTGTGTGTCCTGTATGTGTATGTGTGTGTGTATACTGTCTGTGTATGTGTGTCCTGTGTGTGTATGTGTGTGTGTGTGCCGTGTGTGTGTGTGTGTGTGTGTGTGAGTGTGTATACTGTGTGTGTGTGTGTGTGTGTGAGTGTGTATACTGTGTGTGTGTGTTTGCTGGTGTGTGTGTGTATGTATGCCATGTGTATGTGAGCGTGTATGTGTGTGTGTCCTGTATGTGTATGTGTGTGTGTGTGTCCTGTGTGTGTGTATGCCATGTGTATGTGAGTGTGCATGTGTGTGTGTCCTCCTCCACAGAGACAGCGCCTTCGCCACTGTCGTTTTGGGAGTTTTCTTACCTGGAAGGTGCTCGCCCAGCACCGTGTATCTTCATGAGAACCTTAAGAGTACACGCTACCTGTAACTCCAGCTCCAGGGGATCTGACAGCCTCTCTGGGCCTCCACAGGCACTGTACACACAGCATACACACCGTACATATGGCGCGCACGCGTGCACACACACACACACACACACACACATACACACACACACACACCTCAGTTGGCAAAATGCCCGATGTGTGACAGTGGGGAGCAAGTGTGACCCCAGAACCCATGTAAAAAGGCCGAGGTTACAGGTTCTAACCCAGCTCCGGGGAAGTGTCGTGTCACCAGCCTGCCGGGCCTAACTGGCAAGCCCCAGGTCCCCATGAGAGACCCTGCCTTGAAAACTCACCACTGGCCTGTGACCTCTGGCTTCCACACGGGAGTGTGTGTGAGTCCACTCACATGGCTACACCCACGGGGTGGCAGTAGCAGCTCTCGGTAACTGATTAGGTGTGACTCACAGGCCACACACTCCAGACCTCCTAAAGGGACACCCTGGGACAGGATCATCTGCATCAGGTTGTAACAAGGCCCCCTGGGTTCGGGCACCATGTGCCACTGCCTTCGAGGGCTCCTTCCGGGAGCAGGCATCGCTGCGTGCCGTTCCTGCATTATTTATGAGTTTTCATTAATACGCAGATTTCTGCCAGTTGATTGGCTTGCCCGGCATGGTTCCGCGGGTTCATAAATCAGCGGCCGCTGAGCTATCTTGTTTAGCAATTCTCCAGCCATGGGCGTCCTGTGATGAAATCAGAAAACCCTCCGCAGAGCGTGATGCAGCAGGATGGCTGCCATCTGCCCGGGACTCCCACTGCCTGGAGCTCCTTGGAGGCCCGGGGGCGGGGAGGGCATGGCTAAGTGGACCTGGCATCCTGGGTCTCCGGGTAGGAGGGTGAAGTCTGGGCGTCAACTGGGAGCCAAAGGACCTCCCTACCCAGGTCCCTGACCTTCCTACCCAGGTCCCGTCTGGGAGGCAGAGATGGGACAATCTCCAGGCGTCAGTGCATAGGCCCCGTTGTCTGGTTTCCCTGGGGAACAGGCCTTTATGATGCAGGCAAGGTCACACAGGGCTGTCTCTTCTGCGGAACTCTTTCTGAGGCAGATAGCCAGCTACAGGACCTTTTGTCTTACATCGGAGGTGACATTATGGGGGTGTCACTAGTTCCTCTTTGACTACTGATGTTTTGGGGGACAGTGGAGCGGATTATGTGGCCGTGCACCCAGGCAAACATTTCTTCTCAAGTGGGTGTGGCGAGGCTGAGGAAATGTTCACCATCAGCATTTAATAACTGCTCATGAATCTCCGTCCCTCATCAGACTGCGGTCTGGGAGGCAGGGGCCGGTCTGTCTCCTTCACAGTTGTATCCCCCGCACGGACGCAGCACACCGTGTGAAATAATCGTGGCTAGATCGTGACTCCTGATAAAAACGCCACCTCGGAGTCTTGGAAATCGAATTTCTCCAGGTTATGGTGTCTAGCAAATTCCGCTCTACGTCTCCCACCATCTTTCAGAAAGGCGATGAGAAGTTTTTGCCTTGTGCGCGGGTCCCTCAGCATCTAGCGGCGGCCTCTATCAGCTGGAGCCGGTCCATTTAGCAAGATCATAGCTTCCTTAATTAGACTTATCAAGCGAAGGCAAAGCCATGTCTTCCCAGGTGTTCCCAATTAACTCAAGGGCACCTCCAGTCGCCTCTGGCTCCCCCTGGTCCGGGATCCTGCCTGGGAGCATTGTGGAAGAAATGTAATTATATTCTGGCCACGCGGACCGAGAGATCTGAGATCTGAGTCAGCTTGTTCCTTTGTTTACCCCACGCAGAGTCCTAGGGAAGTGTCCTGGGGTGGGGTGGGGTGGGGCACACAGCGGGAGCGGACTCAAGACCTAAGTCCCCAACACCGGCCTTCTCATTGCCTCTGTTTGACAATTATAGCCGTGGACTTGATTTGATTTCGATCAGATTGGCGTTTGAAGGGGGGAACCTTTTATCTGCCCTACAGGCCCCTCTCACGGGCAGCTCGCCCACGTCCCTGCAAGCCACGCTCCACCCTCACCCAGGACAGTCTTAAGGTGCAGATTGGTTCCTCTTCTGTTTATCCTCTCCTGTGGCTCCTATTTCTTTAGATAAAACCCTAGCTTGTGTGTGTGTGTGTGTGTGTGTGTGTGTGTGTGTGTGTGTGTGTGTATGTGTGTGTGTGTGTGTGTGTGTGTGTGTGTGTGTGTGTGTTCTCACGCGCACGCCAGTGGACTCAGGACTGGCTGGAGGTCAACATGGCATGTCTTCCTTTACTGCTCTCCATCTTACTGAGACAGGATCTTCCTTGAACTCGAGCTC